GTGGTCAATCGTACGGTGGTCAATCGTACCGTGGTCAATCGTACCGTGGTCAATCGTACGGTGGTCAATCGTACCGTGGTCAATCGTACCGTGGTCAATCGTACCGTGGTCAATCGTACGGTGGTCAATCGTACCGTGGTCAATCGTACCGTGTTCAATCGTACGGTGGTCAATCGTACGGTGGTCAATCGTACCGTGGTCAATCGTACGGTGTTAAATTCTCCGCGTCAAATAGAATGTGGTTAATCGTACGGTGGTCAATCGTACCGTGTCGAATCGTACGGTGTGCTATTCTTGCGGTGTCCAATCGTACTGTGGTCAATCGTACCGTGTCTAATCGTACGTGTCCAATATTACGTGTGCAATCGTACTGTGTCCAATTGTACCGTGGTCAAATGGACGTCACCCCACACGGCCTGTGGCCGCCATTTTTCCATTTTAACATCCAAATAACCTCACGCGCTAGTTGTTGCAAAGCCATTTGCTAGCTCGTTTTTGCGTCATGGACGCTAGTTTTGGTCGGGGGAATACTCCTCGGAAGCCTCCACTTCTTACGGAAGATTCACCCCCGGGTGGCAAAGGTCAAGAGTCTGCTTCCCCTCGTTGTGGCCCGCCTTCTTTCGCTAGAGCAAAGAAAAGACAGGTCTCTGAGCAGGCCTCAGCGGGAGAAAAGCGCATTTTCTCCCCCTTCTCCGATACTCAACTCGCCCTTCGTGCCAACAGATACTTGCCGGACTCCACTGGGCCATATTTGGTGCATATAGAGTGTGGAGTGTCCGGACAAGTATTTCGTAGTGACAAGGACGGTGCCGGGTCTAACCTGTCTGCCGGCATCGCCAACGCTCTTAGCGTTCTCGGCCTGGGTAAAAGGCTAAACTCCTTGCTTTATGACTTGTTCCAGGAGGCGTATGATCTTCGGTCCATAGGGAGAAACAAATTTTCAGTTGTCTTCACGTCTGGAAAGTTAGCGAACAGTTTCGTCGAGTCCTTTTCGTTGGTCGGCGACAAAATTATTCCTTTGGACAGTTGGATTGCCTTTGTCCCCAGCTTTAGAGTTGTTAAACAGTATGTTCTTCGAGG